TGCACTTCCTCACAGCATTTGCATAGTAAGCTTCTATGTCAAGGCCATCCTGACCAAGTTTTGCATTTCTTATCCCACAGAGAAAGGCTTCGAAATATACATCTATGTATGTTTTCAGCCCTGAGATTACATATTTGGCTGATACTTGTTCATTTAATACCCATTCACATTTTCACACCTGGGGAATTTGGAAAGAACAGTGCATATGCGTCCAAAAACAACACCACAACTGAATTTCTCTTTGAAAAACTTTAATGAAAAATGCAAACTAGAAGTCACTTTCAGTAAATTTAGCAAAAGAGAATGATTTTGGTTGAAAAAACTTCTTTGTATAGCTTTCAATGTTCATATGAAAAGATAACACTTAAAGAAGCTTTGAAAAACATGATTCTTGAGAAATGAACTTATTTTTGAAATAAAATTTGAGTGAGAATCTAGTAAATAACAGTACCACTTGAAGATAGCCTTTACATGAAAAGGAAAAAAAAAAAAACACCCCAAAACCAAAACTGCTAAGTCTGAAAATCAGCAAGGGGAAAAAACAAAGCAAATTCTTTAAGAAAAAAGGCAGAGTGTATGTATACACCTCATTAAGAAGGAAAAATTAAAATTGCTAATTGAGGTGTAGTGTCTAGAAGAATAAATCCAGGAAGACCCAGCACTAGTAGGTTTTGGGGGTAATCACTATGTCCTGGGATGCTATGCCCTTAGACTGGCCACAACGACAAAAATATGAAGTATACTTTCTTAACAGTCCTCTAAAATGTTCCAAGTACTTTCAAATACAAAGTTTAGTGAAAAGTTTTGTTTCCAGATGAAAATCGCACACAAATTTGGATCTGGAAAGGCTTGAAGGAAGAGTGCAAATAATAGATTGCTAGGAAGCTGGGCAGGACACCAAAGACGAGCGAGCTGGGCATCCTTTACCTTGTTTACAGCTGATCCTACCCACGTGGTTCTTTTGTTGAAATCATCTCCAGAAATGGCTAGTTTATTTGATTGGTACATAACGCGCTGTTACCCAGAAATAACTGAGGCTTAGGTGGAGCACAGCTACAAGACGTCCACTTCATGCCGCATCCCTAGAATTCAGCCACCGAATGTCCCTGCATCTGTGATGAAGACCGTCACACAGAGCTGGGGTTACTGCTGCATAATGGTAAGAGGAGGATGTGTGAAATTCAGGGCCTCATGGGGTTTGCGCTAGAACTCAGGGTGTGCTGGGCAAACCCAATAGCCAGAGAGAAGGGAGAGGAGGAAAAGGAGGGAAGATAATGCCGAGGAATATTTATGTATTAAAATGTGTTGGGAAGGGGCAGGGAGGAAGAGAATGTAATACGTACCAGCTGCCCAAAATAAACTCATCGTGTACCACAAACATGTACTAATAAAAATAGTACAACCAGAGAGAATCCAATGTTAAAAAGATACAATTGAACTACTAGAAGATAGGGAAGAAAGGAATGTATTGTAAAGGTCTAATTTCATCAGCCGAGGTGAAGATAGAGGGACAGTTTTTGACTGGGAAAGGAATAGTTACTTTGTTGTCAAACGTTAGTATAAAACTCAGTACTGATTCTGGTAATCAAAAGGCTACACTTTAGAGGAGAACTTGCAGATTATCAAGGAGAAAGATGGATCAACAGCAACTGTATCAAATCAGCAAAACAAAGGAAAAGGAAAAACTGCAGCTACAGTAATGTATAAAAATAGACACAAAGATGTAGCAATAGCTCAAATTCCCATAAGAAGGTTTAATGTCCCAGAATGTCATTTGTCATTAAAACACAAAATATAATCAAAGTATGGGATGAATGTTTAAAAATAACAGAAAGTAAAATACAAATTTTCATTAATGTGCATAAAGATATGGCCCTCACTGCAGGTACTTTCATCTCATAGTCCTTCCTGTGAGGTCCAGACTGGACTTGAACTCACTTTGCAGTCCAGGCTGGCCTCAAATTCATAGCAACCCTCCTACCTCACCTGTCAAGTGCTGGGATTACAGGCGTGTGTCATCACGGCCGGCTCTCGCCACTTCTGAAGCAGTTTCAGAAGTCTTTTTTATGGAATGGCCTTAAGAGGTGTGATTTTGATAAATCTGATCAGTTGTTGTGTGTCATCCAGCAGAAAGGCAAATTGGTTAAAGCGTCACAGGGCACGTCCTCCTCCATCTTACTCTGGATCTGAGACTTTGAGACATCTCGCTGTTCCTGCAAATCAAGATGACCACAAAATGTAAATCTTTGCTTCAGTTTAGGACATTGAGGCCACCATGGCAAAGCAACTGAGACGTTCACAAGTGGGGATTTCCAGAAGTGCCTCAGAAGGCGGTAAGAGCCGTGAGAAAACGGTGTTGAAAGCAACGGAGAGTATTATTGATGAGGAGGATTATTATCGGTGTCTTTTAATGTAACAAAATTTTAAACATTCATTGTATTTTTCAATCACCATGTATAGATACTTTGCTTCTTTTTGAAAATTGGAAAGAATTGACCGGAGAATGTATTTCGGTCAATGAATTCAATGAATTCTTAAGAATGGCCAGAAATGTTTTGTAAAAAGAACGTAAGGAATAGTAGGCATCAGCTGATACAAAAAAAGCAGAGGAATTACTTTCTCTTTAGCACAGTAGGGTAATTATTGGTTAAAACAATCCATGATGTATTTCACAATGACTACAGAAGTACGAAATTCCCAATGGAAGGAAAGGGGTCTATAGACAGGAAAACATTAAATAAGGGCCTCATTGGGCTTTCTGGTTAATCTTGACCAGAAAGAAAACTATCCTGAGGGAGCCATGAACAAGACCATATAAGCAGAGGAGAGGAAGAGGGGCCGTGGGGAAGTTAGCCTGCCCGCCCCCCACACCCTCGATAAAACGTGAAGGAGCTAAGGGGGCGATGCCATCCCCACACCCGGGTCACTCCGTTGCTGGACTGGTTAATACGTACCCTGTTATTCACTAATTCTAAGTTGCCTCTTCTGTAAGCCTTCTCCCAAACAGCCTATAAATCCCAGAGATGAAGCTCCAGGTGCGAGGACAAACGGGGCCACCTAGGAGTGTGTGTGTAGGGTGCCTAGGAGATGATGCCAGGTTGCGGGCTTGGGACCCTGGGCAGACAATCGGGTTGTGACAAGCTCCTGGCAGGGGAAGTCCCCAAAACAATAAAGGAAGCTGAGGACAAAGGCCTGCGGTGTCTGCATGTTTTGATGCCCCCTGCCCAGGTACTGTTCACTAGGACAGCTCTCTATGCTCTCCTGTCTCTCTTTTCAAATAAAGTGTTTCCTTGATAAACTGTGTTCTGTTGATTCGTTGCTATTGTGGAGTGAATCTTCCCAGCTGGAAGGTTGGAGTGCACCAACCCTGGGTGCCACACCAATGGGTAAAAATCATTCATCCTGGAAGACATGGAATGCTTTATTGCACATTATACCACAAAAATGCACAAACGCTATGCTTCAGCCTTACAGAAACATAATTAAGTCATCTTGGATTAACAACAATATAAATAAAACAAGTAATGGCAAAGTAGACTATAAAATAGATTCAGAAATAGGCCCAAGAGGTATATGCTTATCTTCATCCTATATCTGACTCTCTCCCTGCCACATATGTAAGAAAGTGATGCATTATTTAATAAGTACCATCCTTGCTAAAGTTAATTAGTAGTAAACATTAAAGGACTTTAAGGACTTGTCTAAGACTGGCTGTGATCTCATTTCTAGTGGAAAATATACCACAAACAATAAAAACTTGAATTTGTGAAAAGAAGCCATAAACTGGTGGCTATTTTTGTAAAAGCAATATATATATATATATATATATATATATATATATATATATATATATATTGATTTTTGACTCATTAGTGGAAGGGCCTGGCTTTTATAATCAACTAAAGCTACTTTCCTTCAGTTGTCACTATTGTCCTCGAGAACACCTTGAAGATCTCTGCTGTGCCCAAGTGAGCAGCCTTCCAAGGCAGAGAAAGCTACTACTCACGGTTTTTGGAGTCAGTTACCCTAGTTCTTGTTCTGTTCTTACTGAAAGGCTTATTCTGAGTTTTTGCTTAGTATTCCCAAACCTAAATAGGAACAACAGGTTTTAAGAAAGTGCAAAAGAAAGTTAACACTTCCTAAGCATCTACCACATACAAGGTCATTTTGTCATTATAACTATGAAGTAGGTATTCCAAAGGAGGAAACAGGATAGGATCGGCAATTTTCCTTCTTTCTAACATCAAGTAAGCAATGGGGGTAGTTCTCAAAACACTGATCACTATTCACATTTAATGATTATTCAAGGATATCATACCCACAGTAGCTCATAAGTCTCCAGCATTAAGAACACACCGTGCCTGTGCAGCTTCTGTATCATGAACTCGAGCATTACCAAAATCTCAGATGCCAGCCCAAGCCCCTTCCATGCACTGACCCCTCCCCAAGAGTAACCACTTGCCTGAGTCCCAGCACTTCTATCATCAGAGTAGGGTCTAGTTTATATTAATTTTGGCTATTTTTGAACAATACAGATGGAATCATAGACTGTACTCCTTCACATCTGGCTGGTTTCTCTAACGTTAAGTTTGGACCATTTTAATATTACATATAGTTGACTTTGCTTATCCACATTCCCATGTAATGTACCCTTGTGTCAAATGATACATATTTACATATCCACTCTACTGTTAATGAACCTTTGGATAGTTTCAGATTTTTGGCTCTTATGAACAGCACTACTGTAAACATTCTCGAACATGCATGTCTTTCACTGCACAAAATTTTCTGTGGGATATATACTTAAGGGAATCATTTTTGTATCATGGGATTTGCATTAGAAATCTGACTCCTTGATGTTCTTTGCAACTTACAGTTTTCCAAGGTGGGTCTAAAGACCTGCGCACTCAATGGCCCTGTAGGGAATTCTTGTGGCCCACGGGCAGTTTCCTAAATCAAATTTCTGACTCCCACAACCCAGTGCTTCTTTCACTTAAATTTTATTTAAAGGCAAGACCTTGATAATGATTTTCTTTTATAAATTCCACAATTCTTTCTAAGATTTTCATTTTTCGTTCATTAAAGGAGTCTGCTTTTTTGTACTAGAGGACATATCCCTGCTGTCCAGAATTTAGGAGGGTCAGCAGGGTATCAGAGGCCTTGCGTAAGTATTCATTTTCACTGGATCCAGCTTCTTCTGTTTTTTTCTGCATGAGTGAAAAGAACAGCAGTATAAGTCTTCCAAGCATGTCCCAGAAGTTCCTGAAAGACAGAAGTGAAATAGCTGTTTGCCTTGGATTGTACACCCCAAATCAGCAAAGGAATTATTAAGTCCAATGCTGTTAGACAACAGATCTGTGTGTCATAATATTTCTGAAAGCTGATATATGTAATGGGAAGAGGATAGAAGGTCAAGTACAATAAAAAAAATAGGGGTGATGGATGATCTTTCTGAAAAAATAACGCTTTAGTCCTCTATTTTATTCTTAGATTTTATTTTATTCAACACTGCATTCTATCTGACTACATTGAATGTGCTGTAATTACATTTAGTAACCCTTTTAACAATCTGACTGTGTTAGAATCACTAAATTCTTTCCAATCAAAAGACCTTGACTAAGGGAATTATTTTGATTTTTATTTACAGAGATGCTATGCTATCACTAAAAACATCCATTAAAGGCTTAAAATTACATAATCTGATTAATTAGATGACATACCACGGAAAAGCTAAGATCAAAATACATTTGGTGACTTGGAACAACTTCAGAATATTCCTCTAATCCCATCCTTCTCATCCCACATGCCTAGAATCAAACACAGTATCTCAAGTGAATTCTTCTCATGTGGTTGGGAAATGGGGAAGACTGGGGTTCCTTTGTTTAGTTATAAGTGGAAGTTGGTTATGTAATAAATTCCTGTATGATTAGTGAAAATAAACTGATAAAGAGCAGAATATTTTGTGACAAATTATTCACCCAATCTGAAAGGCATGCAGAAATAACCATTTAACCTTCAAATACTTCTAAAATTATATGAAATAATAACAATGTGGCAGAAAATAAGACTCCTTTCCAAACACTCTCCTTACTACAATATTTCTAGATACTGGCAATTTATAATAGCAAGGAAAATACAAAATGCATAGGAAAAAGCATTGTAAGAAATATCCAGGACTTCTAGGACTTGGAAGAAAGGAAAGAAAACAACCAATATTCAGTGCCAGGTATTATTCTAAACATTTAATATGCATTGTCTCTTTTGAAGTACCACATGATGTTTTGTGGCAGACAGTGTTACAATCTCCATTATAATACATGTACAGAGATTGAGTTACGTATATTAGTAGACACTCTAGTTTAAAAACCTGTGAGAAAAATGAAAGTCAGGGAAACTTTCAGTGTAAAAGGTGTTACTAAAAAGTATGATGTGGGCCAGGGATTTAGTTCAGTGGCATCCATGCCTGCCTGGAAAGCACAAGGTTGTGAGTTTGATTCTCAGCACCAAAAATAAATAAATAAGATGTGTTTAAGTAAAAAATTATTACAGTAAAGACACCTTACCACGAATTCCGCTCAAAATAGTCACGTTCATTCTGAACACTTGGATTCTCTAGTTCCTGCGATTTTCTGCAGCACCTCTGGAGTCCTCTTTACTGAGTGTCCTCAGTTGCCCTGTTATCTGAACTCATGCCCTGAATCAATTCAAATAATTTACCTTTCATGGTTATTTTGACTTTGCAACAGAGTCAGAAATTATACCATGCCAGCAGATTTGGTGAATAAAACAGCTGGGTGTGCACTGTGATGTTTGTAACAGCTCACCTTCCTATTGGATGGCACCCAGCAGCAGCATTCACTGTACTTTTGATCACTGTAAAGACATGAAAGAACTACTTCAAAAGATAGGATGCTTGAAGTAAGGAGTGGTATTTTGAGATGGATATATAGCAATGTGCTGTTCCCTGTAATAATTTTTAAAATTTAAGCATGTGCTTTTTTGATCACCCTTTGTATATTACAAATACAAGATTGTTATTTATGATACTAAATCACTGAAAAGAAAAGAAAAGAAAAGAAAAGAAAAGAAAAGAAAAGAAAAGAAAAGAAAAGAAAGGATCAAAGAAAGGACACGTGAGAGGACTTAGAACGGGTAGGTCTATGAAAATTGTCACGAAAACGATGGACCTAAATAGTTAAAATTAGAAACATTTCAGGAGCATGGTCAGGAATTATAAGCCCTGACACAGTGTGGCTTTCTGATTTTGATCAGAGCCACCTGTGTCTCTCTCGATCTCTAAATCTTGACAATGAGCTCTCAGAAGGTGAGGTCCAAACTTACTTCTTTAATCAAAGATTTTTAGCATGTTGCAAACTCTCAATAAATATCTATTAAATAAATTTGAAATATAAATCCTTATCACTATTGCAAGTAGAAGGCTTAGAATTTTATTTATTTGTTTGGGTGTGTCACTTTGAAGTTTAATTTATCTTTGGGACACAATGTTTTACTTTCCTATATAACATCTTTCTTGTCCTGTGATTTGTGATGAGTCTGACTGTGGTTTGCATTTCTGTTTTGTAGTCACAGTGTTTCTCCCAAGGAATAAATTCATCCTTCCTACATCCATTTACAACTTGTCAATCTACACTATAGAGCAATTGTATATTTTTATTTTTCCTAAAAATACAGGTTCAGGAAAATTGAAGTTAAATTTTAAAGATCAACACATCAAAGAATATTATTTTATAAAAAATCTAAACTGCACAATAATTTTTCAAGAAAGCACTTTAATTGGCATAGTCTTGTGTCTTGAACACATAAATGTATTTGAAAACTTTAATCAATCCAATCTAAAAATATCACGACACTCTGTAAATCTAAGTATCTATGTGATACCAGCATGCCGCTTTAGCTAACAGTGACATAATAAAGTCAGTAAGATTGTTAAGAACTTCTCATGTGCTTGGAGTACAGTTCCCAGAGAACTATAACAGATCTCCGGTGGAGCAGAGCCACAGAGCTACAAAGTAAGTGAATGGTGGTGTTATAGTCTGAATTGTGTCCTGCTCTAAATGTGTGTGCTGAAGTCCTAACGCCTAGTTCCTCAGAAGATGACTTATTTGGAAATAAGGTCATTACAGATATAACTAATTAGGGTAAGGTCAGATGGGTGAGTTCTTAATCCAGTATTGCTAGATGCCCTTACAAGACAGGGAATATAGACAAAGACATGAATACAGGGGGAAATGTGGGGTGATCCTGCAAAGGGCCAAGGAGAGAGCCTCGGCAGATCTTTCTCTCACAGCCCTCAGAACATGCCCACTCTGCCAGCTCTCCAGCCTTCAGAACTCAGAGACATTAAAAGCTATGCACGTATGTACTTTGTCACAGCAATCCAAGAAAATTAATAAAGCATATTAAAAGCTTAATGAGGTGCCACACATATCAGAGACAGGCTCAGGCAATAAAAATATTCTGGAACTATTTGCTTCAGAATCACTGGAGTAGTTGCTAAAATCATCAGATCCTTCAGGGCTGCAGCCCGGGCATTTGACAGCTAGAAAGCCTGTTGGGTGATTTATTCCTTACACATATACTTACAAATGGGCTACTTTTTCCAGGTATGTTCTGTAGGATACAAGAATTGTGGAACAAGGCAGGTACATGCTCTTATTATATCTTGTAGACATTTTTGTGTACTACATGAGAGCACAAAAGGGGGACAGTCAGGAAGGACACACTTTTAACTTGTTATATTTCTAAACTTTGTGATTGAAATTAAGTTGATTTCATAAAAACAAACATTTAGCCCAGTTCTGAGTAGGTGTAGAAAGTGAGGGAAAAGGCAGAGATCAGGAAGCTTCCTCTGTGGGATGATGCCTTGAATGGTTTTTGAAGAATCCATAGGAATTAATGAAGATATTTTATTTCCACACAACTCTTGACTCCTGCTCACTTCTTTCTCTGAAAGTTTCTCAAACTTAGAGCCAGATCTGATACCCTTATGTGGCTGTGCTGTCATAATAATAAAATGTTTATACATATATTGATAAAAAGCTACTGCCCTGCATCCCTGGGCACCATCCAAACCTACCTTGTGGATATTTATTGAGAATACCCTTGTCATTAAATATTTTTGAAATACTGCTGTTATGGCTTAGATCTAGATGTTTCCCCAAAGCCTCATGTGCTTGCATGTGGCTGAATTTAAAGGGTGCGATGCTGGGAATAAGGAAAGCCCACCGTGGGTGCAGGTGAACCCCCAAAAGACAAGGAGGCTGAAAGCGATCAAAGGGACCGGCAGGCTGCTTCTGCTACTGGTCTTGCTTCCTTTGCAGCCTTCTGCCTGCCATGAACTGTTTCTCCTCTGAGATGCCCCTCTGCCCTCCCATGCATCCTTAAAGCCAGCTGACGGCAAACTGAAGCCTCTTAAAATTGTGATCTGATATAAATCTTGCCTCCTTTACCTTTGGGTGTTGGTTATTTTGCCTCAGCAATGAGAAAGATAACTAAAGATCACCAAATATTTAACTGTCTGCAGGACAGTTCTTTCCTGAGACATGTATATCATGACATAGAGTTCTTGTCTTGCTGGGTTGGCACTTACTGAGTTAAAAGGTGTAATATTCATGGTGTTCTCCTAGTTCCTGGGTTTCTTTAACAATGAATGTCCTCTTTGCTTCTGCTAGACATTTCCTATACTTTAAATCATCGTCTCATTCATGGAAAAGAGTGAAAGCACCCAAGCATAACATTCTTAAGCTTGCATTACAGGCCCATGTGTTCAGTCACTGGAAAATTTATACACGTTGATAATTATTTATGAAAGAACACTCATATTGTAAGCTGCTGAGAAACTGCATTTTTGAATTAGTGCCCAAAACAGAAGAGAGTGGTTGATTTAGCATGATATCTTTAGATAGATTTTTGGCCAGAAAGTAGATGAGTATTTGAAAGTCATGTCACTTGGTGTAGAGACACCATGTCAGGGGCCAAACATGGTCTCTGTGGTCCCAGAGAAAGAATAAGCATGGTTGACTGATACCTCACAACAAATTGCAAGGACAACATAAGTTAATGTAAGTTTTCTAGTGTTAATAACTTAAATATAGTACTATAACAGAAATTTTACAATTGTGAATTGTCTAGTTTTAGACTGCTAATGGGTATGATTCTGTTGAGTCCTTGTGGGACAACTAGTTAGGTTATAAACTATGTTTTCCAGGAATTGTGTTCATTTTTCTCAGGACCTCACCAACCCTGCCCCATTTGTTTGTTGACCGGAGCCGCGGAAGACAGGAGGTCAAACTCGAGCAGGATCAGCTCTCAAACTTTATTGCGTACAGCGAACCGGACCTAACAAGGTCCGCCACCCTCAACGTTGGTTCCTCTTCCGCCCGTTGGGGGCAGGAACAACCTCTTATAAGGGGAAGCAGTATCCAATCACAGAGAAGCGCGCCTAACAAGCTGATAGGCTAGCGTCACGGGTAACTGGGCAGATATGACAATTTGGCGGGCTTGTTCAGGCCGGGAAGAACCCGGAAGCAGGAAATGGGCGCCATTCATAGGCGGCTTCCCACAGTTTGTGGTTGATGAAATCATAGCATCTGGACCTTTTAAAGGAAATTTTTTTTTAAAAGCCAACTATTACATCAACTGAGAAAAAGATTATCATGGAACAGGAGGACAATAAGGATCATTTTTTAATATTTTATGCAATTTCCTTTCTCTCTCGCTACTTAAAGTACTCCGCAGAGAGCCAAAGCAGAATGATAACAACTTATTAGATCAGTTTGAGAGAATATTCAACCTTAGAGCGCAACTGTCCAAATTGCTTCTTTGTACAGGTGAGAGTATTGAAGCTCGGGTGTGAGATGGCTTGGCCAACACTAGCTGGTGAGCCTGGGCCCCAAACAGAAGCTCCCTGTTAGGCCCATGTTCTTTCATCTAACCTTACTAAGCCAGGAAGTTTTTTCCCAGATGTTTTTCTAAATTAATAAGGAAGTTGCTTTTTATATTCACAAATCAGACCCATGTAAATAGGATTTCATTCTTATTTCCTTCTGAAGGTAAATTTAAAGACATTTAATTTTGCAAATAAAACATATGAATTTTAGGATAAATACTAACAATAAAAATGACCAGAGCTAACATTTACTGTGTATCCATCAGTGTCTGAGTTAAGCAAGGTAATCCCCAATGTAATTCAGGGAAGTAGATACGATGATCATTTCTACCTTACCAGTGGTTTAGAGAAATCACTTGTTCCAGGTTGATGAGCAAATAAGAGACAAGGTAGCAGCTTGAAATCCAGCTCCTAACCTCCATAACATGCCTTCTATATCTGTGATCCGTTTGAATGGGTACTGAACAGTCTGGGCCTGCACGCTGGCCTTTTCCTTGAAATGACCTTATTATATCCTCGCTGAGCCATTATTCATAGATTTTGTTTTTAACATTCAAATAAGGTTCCAGATAACATTCAAATGAATCATCATCCCTTTGATTTTCCAATTTGGGGGAAATGACTCGTTGACATCTTCACCATTGTGGTGTAATTAATAAAGACAAAAAGATCACTTGGGAAAATGTTCCATTGTCACAGCTGGCAGCCTCTGCAAAATAATACAACCCAAACTGGGAGAGATAAAGCGGCTGGGGAAGAGGCCAATTATGTAGCACTGTCCTTAAAAACTCCTTCCTTGCTGAGAATCAGGACTTCCTGAAAAAGATAAAGCAAAAGGGAGAACCAGGTGCTCTATTCTCATTTTTTATTGGACAAAAAGAAAAACACATCCAGGATATTCCTGGAAGCTGAGGGCCTTAGACTCCTGTGTCCTTCCTAACAGCTGCTGGTCCTGTGGCGGATTCAGAAGTCTGCAGCTGCTCCGATCAATCTGGGAGCCCAGACAGATGCTGCCTGACCTGTGCAGCCCCTTCAGGAAGCAAGCTGTCCAGGGCCAGTCTGTGCATGGAGGACCAGCAACCAGCCACCAAGGTGGGACCCAGATGGCTCCACAGAAGTCACGGGCCACTCTGAGAATCACCAAGTCTTGCCTGCTGAATTTTCATAGGTGGGAGAAGTTATTTATTGCAGGAAAAAAACTCTTCTAGACCTAAGCTTTGCCCTCATCCATCTTCTCTTCGTCTTCAACTCCTGAGTTGGAAGCTTCCTTAGGAGGAAAGCAGTTATCAGAGGACAGGGTTGTGTGGCAAATCCTATTCTAAAAGACAGACGAATATCATTCAGTTTTTATAAAGAATTAGATTGTTACATTGTTTCATCTTCTAAAACTTGAAAAATCTATTGTCAAAATATATGTCACTGAAACTACGCTTCTGGGCTCAGCATACGTTCATCATCAGGAAAAGTAATGAGATGTGTGAAGACAGAATATTTTGAAACGTAGTTGTGCATTTACTGAAGTTACTGAATTGCACCCACTTACAGTTTAAACTCGATGTTTATTTAGTAGCAGCTGTAAAGAAATATTAAAGACTGTTTAAAATTAGACTGATGTAATGAATACAGATTCCCACCATTCATGTCCACCAGAAACTGTTTGCAAAGGAGGTTTTAAGAGTGTGGGGAAGGTTGGAAGCTTTCCTAGATTCCACAGAAAGTCTTAACTGCAATCACCTTTTCTTCTCTACATGTGTACAGCTTGCCCTTGATTCTTCAGGAGTTGGACGATGAGATTGCTTTTATGCTCTTGTCATCCTAATTTTTTCTGCTAGTTCCTTGTGATTACACATATGGCCTTTTTTTTTCATTTTTAGAAACACGCACAATTAATGAAAAGCAAAATGAGTGTCATTTAGAATAATCTTTTTGTTTTTAATACTTAAAGGAAAAGAATCTTTAAAGCAAACTATGCTGACTTTGTGCATGTAACAGGGCCTACATCCATGTGGCCTGAGATGGAACCGAAAGGAGAGGGGCACTTACTTATGCCAACGTGTCTGGCATGGAATATATCTGCTCCCTATTCTCCATGTGGTTTGCCAGGGAGTTTCCAGTAGACAAGGTTTCTCTGAGATCAGTGGCCCAGGGAAGCTCCTGAGTAATTCTGGTTGTTTGAGCTTAAATCTCAAAGTCCCCTGAAGTCTCCTGGGACATAGATGAAGTTTTGGAAGGTTCCTGGATTATGAGGGAGTATGGCTAAATTCTCTGCTGTGCTGTCTTTACCCTGAACCAGCTGTGGATGGAAACCTCTACAAGCTGTGAGCCAGAATAAATCTCTCTTGCTTTGAGTTGCATGTGTTGATCGTAGGTCCCAGCAATGAGGAAAGTGACTAAGATACTAATGAAGCCCAAGAGTTCAAACTGCCTGGTCCCAGACTACAAAATGGAGAGACTGAATAAAACAGACCAGCTCAGTGAACAGTACCCAGAAATCATCAGCAAATGTCCTCACGGCCTGCCACTTACACACTGAATTCAGAAAGAATAAGTACAATGTTCCAGCTCCTAGCTCCTTTCCCCTTCCCCAGCTCCTATTCTACACAATCAGATTTTAATTCCACTTCAATAATACCTGATAAATGAAGAAATATGCAAATAAGGATGCACCACTAGCAAAGGTGGCGGGTGTCATTATGTTTTAGTTGCAGTCCCTGTGGGGACTGCACCCTGTGGGTTCCGCATAGCTGAAATGGAGTAGTTTCCTGTGCTGCAGAAACAGCAGTAGGCAAAGCGTCTGATGGTCCTGGTTTCCTTCCTATGAGTAATGCATAGTTACCCCTTGAATATTTACCATGATGTTCACCTTAGGAAGCCCCCTCTCACACAGTACTCTTATTTAGCACTGTGCATTGTCTTGTCCTGAGTGGGTTATTGGTTTCCTCTAGGCTGTACAGTTATAAAGGCAGGGCTCAGATCTGTACAAGCATTAGGCCCAGTGCAAGGTTCAGTCACCAAGTCAGTGAACAAACAGCACATTGTTGTCCCTTTGATGAAGAATGCGTGGAAGTCTGTATTTTAGTTCTTACTGTGTTGAAGGAATAAATAGAAAGTTATAAAAATATATAGCTATACACTCCCCACTCTTGAGATACTGTTAACGTGGTTCTTGGGTGAATCTGCATTTTTAACATGAAGCCCAGGTGATTCTAATACATACCAGGAACCACACAGTATGAACTTATTCAGGATTGCAGTCATTAGGGGGTGACTGATGCTCATAGGTATGTGTGAAGTTTAGTATCTCAATTATTTTTCTATGATGAGATTGCAAAATGACTGACTGAATTCCTCTCAAGGAAACTGCAAAAGTGACTTTTGATGGGAAAAGCAATGATTTTTTACTGATTACTCATCTGTGACTAACAATTTGAGGCTTGAACTACTGTTATAACCAGCGTTTCATCTTCCCTATGAAGACAGTGATCTACAGTGGGAATCATGGAGGCAGTGTATTTACTCCATTTGTTATCTGGATGAGCTGGGCTGGGTAGGAAGCTTCCTGTCTACAGAAAGGCACATCTACTCTTTGGACCAGCAGTGCCAGGTGGAGACCCTTTCTCCCAAAGTGATGTTCCAGGGCCTTCTCGAGCCCTTGCTTCACCTGCTCCGTGCTCAGCTTGCATGTGGGTAACCAGGAGTGTCGAGCACCTGCACCTGCAGGGTGATCTCTTTGTCTGCTTAGCGCATGAAGCTGTGGAGGTAACAGCTGCGGCCCAGGGTACAGTCTTTGGTGACAGCACAGGGAGAAAAGCTGCTATGGAACTCAGTACTTCCCAGAAGAATATTCCCAGCAGAGCTCTTTCCACTTTGAGTTCTGCCAAAGAGAGCCAAGTTGATGAGCACCTCGTTGGTGTCCATCATGGCTGCTGTTAAACTAAAATATATAGCATTAAGGGTCTACATTCACCCAAGGAAAGGCTTAGCTGAGGAGAATTCTATTTACAGCAGTCCTTTAGTCTCTGTGGAAGAATTTGTCCCAGGGCTCCCGCAGACACCAAAGCCAGCAGGTGCCCCAGTTTCTTGTATAAAATGGCATAATGTTTACATACACCCTACACATGTCTTCCCAGTGCTACTTTAAATGAGTTCTAGACCACTTCTAATGCTTAATACTATGCAAATGGTCTGTGAATAGTCATTACATTGTATTGTTTAGGAAATAATGATAAGCAAAATCATCTCTATCTCATCAACAGAGACAGTGTTTTTCCTCCAAAATATTTTAATCCATTCTTGGTTGAAGCCATAGATTGTGGACATGCTGCAGAGATAAAAGAGAAAGAAAACTGAAATAAAATGAGTTTATGGTGGAAGGACAGAGAAAAGTTAAATACGGATAAGGGAGCTGAGAAGATAAAGTAATTGCAAGAAAATGAGAGAAAAACATTACATGCAGATATAATAAAGCATATTAATGTTTATAACATAACATGTTAATATGTCATGTTAATATATCGGTATGGTAGGGGCGTTGGTTTAGCAAAGTGCTAACCATTGAAGTTCCTGAGCTCAGGTACGAAATCAGCAAGAGCATTTGAAAATTATTCACGGTTAAAGAAGTAGGAACAACATGGTGAAAGAAAGAGCATTTCAACAATGTTCTGTTATGAAATAATTAATAGATCATCTTCACAGTCCATCATTGCTAAGTGCTGAGTTTTTAATAAACTAAGTAAAGCCCAACACATTGCACAGTGAAGAGGGTGAAGAACCTGGATAAGGGTGGGCAGTGCAGTTAGGCTTTTCTGCAGAGCCTAAGTCCCTGCAGCATCTTAAGTCATCAGTCATTTTCACTGATTGATAAGTTGTTACAGTCTGAATGGTATATGTGTGCATTCTGTTGACTCAGAAATAGACAAATATAGTTAAGTAATAGATTTATTTTTGCTTATAACCTGTGACTCTGTTATGTAAAGTACCCTGGGCTTTTCTTGTCCTCTAATGCCCCTCATTCTAGTATTTCCAGATTCTAACAAGAACACCTTGAAGGAGTCTCATGCTCCTATAAAAGTCACTGGTTTGGGGGCTCCCTCAAGCTGACACCAGCTTGTACACCTCATTCCATTGTGCTGACAGCGCTGAAGCAGTTGATTTCTCTTTATTCCTGATGCAGATGCATGATATTTTAATAGAGCAGACTCAGTAATCCAATCCAGTCACTGTGTATCACTTACCTTTTCAGGCTTGGAAATGCTTTCTTCACAAAGACTTTGCAGGAGCAGTACAGTTACTCTTCCACGTGAACTTTAACTCCTGACAGTGTTACTATACCAGTAGGGGGCTGACACTGCATTCTTCTTCTTAGTTAATCTATTACAAGACATCCTACTGATAAGTGACTAGCTGGCTAACTCTTATCAGCACTGACTTATGTCACCTTGCAGATTTGTAATTTTAATAGATACTTCCTGAAACTTCTATTTTCAGGATTAAATTCTTTGATTTAGTGTATCCACAGTAAACATAGCATAAAGAAACATTAAATTTAATAAATGTTAAATATTCTATAATAATGGTTACAATTTTTTCCATTTTAATTGATAAATGATATCAGTACTTTATCAAAAGTTTCAACAAACATAGATAATCATTGGTTATTGACTTCTTAACAGTATTCAGTTCATAAATTCAAAATGTTTAAAGAAACTCTTTAAACAAGAAGCTCAGACATCCTGTGACTTGGGGCCATGTTCACGCTGATTGTGGGAAAGCCAGAGGCCAGCCTTCTCCTGTGAGTCGGCACCATTCACAGACTGAGGTGGAGGAGAGGATGAAGTCCACAAGAAGCTCAGACATCCTGTGACTTGGTGCCATGTTCAGGCTGACTGCGGGAAAGCCAGAGGCCAGCCTTCTCCTGTGAGTCGGCACCATTCACAGACTGAGGTGGAGGAGAGGATGAAGTCCACAAGAAGCTCAGACATCCTGTGACTTGGTGCCATGTTCAGGCTGACTGCGGGAAAGCCAGAGGCCAGCCTTCTCCTGTGAGTCGGCACCACTCACAGACTGAGGTGGAGGAGAGGATGAAGTCCACAAGAAGCTCAGACATCCTGTGACTTGGTGCCATGTGCCGGCTGACTAGGGGGGAGCCAGATGCCAGCCCTTCTGATGCATGGGCAGGGAGACAAGAAGGGTCAACGTGCCTGCTCCCACTCCTCCTCCCCATAAACAACCAGCTGATCTGGAGAAACATAGGCTGTGATGATAGCTAATGATGCAACTTGATGCTTGTAGTGTTTAGTGTTTCTCTCACTTTGCAGGCCGAAATCCAGTAGTCTGATCATCTATTCAGAGGATAATGATATGTAGTGTAGCATCTACTGGGGATCTCCTTCTGAGGATGGTAGCCATTGTTAATTCCCTATTATATTGTTTTGAAATCCTATATCATTCTTATTGTTTTGCTTCATTGGCTTTTATTCTGTTTTATCTTGTTTGACTTTGTTGTATCTGATGGGATGGGCAGTTTTTTCAAAGATAGCAGGGTATATTATGGCACCCATTTTGAATTACTATTATCTTGATTTGAAGTCTTGAATTACATTCACTGTTTTATCTTTATTGGTTCTATTATGTTTCTGTTTTGTTTGATTTTACTGTGTCTGAAGGCATAGGCAGCTGTTTTGAAGACAAAAAGAGGCACTGTGGTAACCATTCTTGATTTCCTATTACCTTGTTTTGAAATCCTGTGTCACTTACACTATCTTGTTTTGATTAGCTTTATTCTGTTTTATTTTGTTTGCTTTTATTCTTTCTAAAATAAAATTTTTTAAAAAGAAGCTCTTTGGGTTATTTCCATATAATTGAAATTTCTTATCTTTTCCTAAGTGATGACATCATTAGCTGACTTTCTCACAATTAATTTAATATTAATTAATGATGATGAATTTATGAAATGACATACAGTTAACTGTAACTTATCAAATATATTTTTGTTAAAAATTCAGATTCTGTTTTCTATTCTTTTTTTTTTTTTTTTTGCAGTACTGGATTGAGCCCAAGGGTGCTCTACCACTGAGCTCCATCCCCGTTGTTTTTTATTTTGAGACAGGACAGTTTCACCAAGTTGCCCAGGCTGATCTCAAACTTGCAAACTTCCTACCTCTTTTTCCCAAGTAATTAGGGTTAGAGGTGGGCATCACCATATTTACGTGATTTTGTTACTGACAGCTCACATTTGACTTTCCTTCTTCTTAGTCTATAACCCGTACTCCTCCAAATCCTTTCTTGTAATGTGTAAGATGCAGAAACCCTAATATGGTCATGTTCTGGTCTATCCTCTCTTGTATGGCTCAGAAAGTCTGTGCAGTGTGTATCTCCACATGAAGAGAACCTTATGACCTGTTGTAAAGAGAGCTCAGAAGTCCTCTACAGTATGGAAGTGACAAGGAAAACTTGAACTGCATTTACTCATCTGACAAGCATACAGATTCTCTTGACTGAAGCCGAACCTTCCCTGGGGGCAGGAGCAGCCTGATTCCTAAGAAGTGGTTTTAAATCACAACTTGTTCTCATTTTCTTCTTAAATGTATAATTGGACAGACATATCTAGGGGAAGAGAAGTCTTTGGTCTTGACATGGTTTCACTGATTATAGACTCTGTCATTGACATCCCCATGCATGAGAACTTACAATTTCTTTGTTAGGTGAAGATGGTATTTCTTTACTTTGTGCATTTTTTTTCTGAATTATTCATATGTATAGTTTTTCAGATTATAAATCTCACACGTGTTCTCAAAGCATTTAAAAACACAGACAACAGTATAGAAGAGAATAGAGTATCTTTCACATCTATTTTTTGGCAACCAGGGAACACTGATTCCTTTTGGGAACTGACACAGAAGAGATATTTTTTTGTCAGGTTACTTATGACTTCTACTATTTATTCTATTTCATTGAGTATAAATACCACACGTTCTTTATCCATTCATCTGTTGATGGACATACAGGGAACTCCCAAGATTTAGTTATTATGCATTGTGCTGCTATAATATGGATCTGTTTATATCACTATAGTATGATGTCTTTTCTTTCAGGAAGATATGTAGAAGGGAAAGAGTTGAGTTGAATGAAATTTCTCATTTCAGTTTTTTGAAAATTTCCACACCAATCTCCATAATAGTTGTACAAGTTTCGGTTCAGACTTGAAGCATTCATAGGTGAATAGCTGCACCTTGAGACTATAATATTAAGTAAAATAAATTAGATGCACAAGCTTAAATATTGCATTGTTTCTCTTGTATGAGAAATCTACAATATAAATAAAGAGAAAATAAAAGACAGGTGATAGGAAACAGGGAGATCTTTTTCAAATGGAAAATCAATGGAGGGGGCAAGGGAAAGGACATAAAAATAATTGAAAGAAATAATGGAAATAGAGCTTTTGCATATAGGAAGGGTCCAAGGGATGAAAAGGGCAGGAAAGTATGGGAAGAGTAAGGGATACAAAAGGAATTAAGACATGATATGTATTGTACCAACCCCCTCTAATAAATGTAATAATTATGTACTGAAAACATGTACTAATAAAAAATAAGAATCAGGACTGCAATAAAGGGCTTTACTAATTTGAATGTGTTCAGCCTGTAAACTGTACGGAGGCAAAGCTACTGGTGCAATCATGCTGGATACACTGTTTTTTTGGCACATATTATGGTAGTCATCTTTCCTGTTGCTAAAACAAAGTGCCCAACACCTACTTCTTAGAGGTTTAAAAGGAGATGTTTGATATGGCTCACAGTTTTAGAGGGTTCAGTCCATGGTCTACAGGTTCCAAGGCAGGAACATCAGGGTGCAAGGGTGCAGTGGAGCAAAGCAGCTCACTTTATAGTGGTTGGGGAGCAGATCAGGGAAATAGCACTTGA